CAAGTTTCGGCTTGATCAGACACTCCATAACAAAGATATGAGCAAAACATTGAAACAGGAGATGCCGCATACTATTCCCGTATGGCCTCACTGCACCAAAACACCATTAAAGGTAGTTGTTTTTATAGTCACGAGCATTCACTTTCAGAGCCCGTAACTTACTCGTTCCAACTCAGTTTGCCCCAAAATTGGATGAGCGTATTCATCTCATCTAGACGAACAATTTGATATGTGGCACGCCTCGAGATAATATTTGAGCTGGGAGAAAAGCTAAAGAGAAGTTGCCAATCCATGAAGAAATTGCAGAAAATTCAATAGTGACACGTCTCACTTGATGAATTAAATCACGATGCTCACACAACGAATCGACGCAAAACCAATTCCATTGTGTGTTTAAGGTTCAGGGCTACCATTGGACCGAACCACGTACATGATGGATGGTCAGATTTCATGCATGAAGCCGATGAAGTTACTAAAATTATGGCCTCTAGATTCTAGATTCTAGCAAAAAGTCAAATGTTGCAAAATCTTCGCTTGAGCTACAAATCGCGTTCTGATTGTTGTCATGCAATCGTGATGTCATGCTTAGTGCACTATAACGAAGAAATCACAGAAAAACATTAAGGACAGACCGCACTATCAATCTGAAGTTTCCAAGATTCAAACAAATTTCAAGTCTCGTGATCATGACTCAAAAACATGATTCATGGCTCGAAGTTGATATCAAAACAATAGCCATGTCGAGCCCTATAAGAAAACAATAATCTTTTGATCAAACGGGCATCAGAACAACCCCGGTCAGCTACGAAAGATCACACAACTTCTCGGGCAGCCACAGGGACTGTTATGGAATTCTACATATTGTTAACAGGGGCAAAACAGTTTTTTTGCACCCATTTTTAGAATTCCTTTTAATTCAATTAAATCTTAATTTTCAGCAATTAGGTTTAATTTTGATCAATCCACCCATGTTTGGGCACAACTCTATATAAACAGGCACTGCCTCATTATAAAGGATCGGCATGCAAACCCCCCACCACCTCTTGGTCTTGAGTGAATTCTTTGAAGATTCAATAAAATTTCGATTCCTTGCTTGAGTATGTGAGTATGTCTTGGAGAAAGAGAGAGGAGAGAGAAGAAAATGGGTGGTATCCTTCAGGCAGGCAACTTTTTCTCTCCTCCCCTCTCTTCGTTTATCAAACAAGGCCTAGTGCCGGTTGTCGTTTCTCTCTCTACCAGTCGGCGTGGCCTAGTGTCGGGTTGGTCTCCTCACTCTTCTACTACAGTCGGTGAGGCCTAGCGCTGGTTGTCTTTTCTCTCTCTACCAGTCGGCGAGGCCTAGTGTTGAGTGGGTCTTCTCCCTCTTCTTCTATTAGTCGGCAAGGGCAAGCACCAACTGGTTTTCCCTCTCTTCTTCTGTCAGTTAGTGAGACTAAGAGCCAGTTGGCTTCCTTCCTCTCTTCTTATTTGACACAGTCGGTGAAGCTTATCGCCGACTGCTTCCTCTCTTTCCTATCTCCTGAACTAGTCGGCGATGTCTAGTGCCAACTGTATCTCCTCTTCTTTCTTCTCTCTCCTTCCGTCTATCGCCTTCCTCTCTTTAACCATTCCTTTGCTGCTTTCTCGTTCGACAAAGAGGGATTGAGGTTAGCATCTCATGGCAGTCCTGTCATATAGCCGTAATGTGGTTGTGCCAGGTTCGCTTGCCTGCTTTACTTCCACGACAGAGCGACCATCGTGCCTAGCTAGTCGATATCGGCAATAACGTCTAGCAGCGATCTTGTGAGCTGGTCTCAGTTATCGAGCCCGTTTCGCCACCACGTTATGTCAATTATCCACTACTCTAGTCATTGCCCTGACCTTCTCACTTGGTTGAATTCTTCTCTCCCCCCGTCTTCTTCTTGAATGTGCATGCTTGTGTACGCTCATCAGAGAGGAAAAGGGTGAGGTCTGACCCACCTGTCCCATAACCTTTGCCATATATGTGTGTGATTATAGAAAACAAAAAATAAGAAGAATACGAGCCAAGGGAGGAGATTCTATACCAGTTTCATTACTGGGGGGCTTTCTTCGTGATCTAAGAAGACGCCCACGCGAGTCAACCCGAGGAAGTCCTAAACCCACATTTTAAATTCCTCTCTTACCGGTTGGTAACACCTGCCCTCATTTTTGAACGAGGTTCCCGAGAGAGCGATCTCACGAACGTCCCAGGTCTTCCCCGAAACCCGAGACACGAGCCGCCCGATTCCCCAGCGCTCCGAGATCGAGGCACCTAACCAATCCACCTCAAAAACCTCTCCTGCCCCACCCAACTCAAAAACCTCTCCTGCCCCACCCTTCTACAATCACCTCAAAAGCAGGGGTTGCTCTGCGACGACGCCAAAGAGAAAAGAATAGAGCATAACAGTGCACCAGAGGGTAGTGGAACAAAATCAACGACCGAAAAGTAAGGTTTTAAAGAATGGGCTAAATAGGAGTGGAAGAGGAAATATGAAAGAGAGAGGGAGATTCAGGTGGAAGGGCAAGAGTAGAAACAAAAGGGAGCAAAATAATAGAAGGTGGTGGAAGTGGATGAGGATCTAAAAAGCAAAGACCACCCACCTACAATCTAACTCTGTAATTTTAAATCTTTCTAAATTATTTCCTCGCATGAGGGAACAAGTGTCCAATATGCTTGCATATGAACGCAGTATACACGCTCTTCTCAAAATGGAAATTGTGAAAGTGAGAAAGAGAGGAAAATGGTTTCATCAGGCTGCAACTTGTCAAAATAAGTAAATCCTCATCTCATAACTCATCGAAAATTGCAAGTCAAGCATTGGAAAACCTTTATATCGATCATCTCGACTTGGGCATTATGGTTGTTAAAAAAATAGAAATTATCACAAATATACCTTAACTATCGTCTATTTAGAAAAAAACCTTTAACTTTCATAAACTTCGCCTACACTTCTTTCTTTTTTTTACCAAAATAACCTTTACAGTAGTCGTATTACCGTGAAGCACAATTACAGAACTTAAAATACCGTAAAAACTAGAATTTTATACGACATTTTAAGTACTGTAAAAAACTAACCATGTTTTATGACATTTTAAATACCGTAAAAACTCATGTAATATGACATTCTATACTTATATTTATCTCTTTTATCTTATTTATAGTTATCTCTTTCATATCTCTAATTCATTTATCTCTTCTTTCTCTCTCTAATTATTTTTAATATTTATCTCTTATTTCTCTCTCTAATTCTTTGTAATATTTATCTTTTATTTCTCTTTCTAATTCTTTTTAATATTTATCTCTTCTTTATCTCTCTATTTCCTTTTAATATTTATCTCTTCTTTTTCTCTCTATTTCTTTTTAATATTTATCTCTTCTTTCTCTCTCTAATTCTTTTTAATATTATCTCTTCTTTCTCTCTCTAATTCTTTTTAATATTTATATCTTCTTTTTCTCTCTAATTCTTTTTTATCTATTATTTTTCTCTCTAACTCTCTTTCTCTCTCCAATGAGATTTGCATGACAACCTGTGCGTACGTTATCATCCCTTATAAAAACTCCCTTCAACCCCATCCCCTATGAAAATTAGACCGAGTCAAACTCCCTTCAGCCCCATCCTCTATGAAAATTAGATGGAGGCAGATTTTATAATCGTGTTTGTTGAGTTGATGAAGTAAATAAAGAGAGAAGGAGAGTTAGTGAGAGAAAGGGTTTAGAGATAAAAGAGATAAATATGAAGATGAGAAAATGGTTTATGACATTATGAACTCACATAACATGGGTTAGTTTTTACTTTACTTAAAATGCCATATACAATGGGTTAGTTTTTAAAGTACTTAAAATGCCTTATAACATGGATTAGTTTTACTGTGATTATTTTTGTAAAAAAACTTTCAAAATTAAAAAAAAAGGCTGTGGATGAAGTTTATGAAGGTTGAGAGTTTTTTTTTTTTTTTCTAAATAGATAAAAATTGACCTATATTTATGATAATTTTCCTAAAAAAAATTAGTATTTCAAGCTTTAAAAATAGGTATATTGCATCAAATTATCTAGACCGTCTATTTTACCTTAAAAATGAGTGTTCGTATATAAGCAAAATCATTACCATTTTTTGAGTTTCAAATTTTATTGTTAGCGTTGAAAATTGATTTTAGAGCAATCACAAAGATTTATGTCGCCGAAAGTATATTCCAAGAATTTAAAGTGAGGCGTTATTTTGTTTTCACAACTCCTAGCCCTTTTAAAAACTTCATCGGAAGGAAAATAGATCGTGCCCAACGAAGTTCCATGAAAATTGGTCAGGAAAACCAAGACTCCGATTTCTCACAACGGAAATTGTAAAACAACATAGACTACAGGAAGAGAGAACGAGAGAGGTGTCGATTGGAAGAGAAAAACAAAACCCAAGCAAATATAAATCACATAATGAATGGGTTTCAAGACTCATAAGTATATATGCGCCTCCCATTAAATTTCATTTTAGATGATGTTTTTTTAATTTTTTTTAGATTTCAAGATGATTATAAAAAAAAAAAATTTAAAATTTAAAATAAACAAAAATTTTTAAAATTAAAAATATAAATTAAATATTTTTTTATGCACCATCCATATCAATTCACTTTAGAGAACATGTTTGTGAGTCAGGAGACATACATGGTTTCCATGCGGCCAGCTCTCATATTGTAGAAATACTAGCATGACAATAAATATACTTTTTAAGTATAATTTGATCTTAATTTTAAAAAAATATATAAATTTTAAAATGGGGATCATGAATATCAATTTTTTTTTAAAAAAAACGAAGGATAACAATTATATTAAAAAAACATGTGAACCATTAGTTCCATTTATTTTTATATGGACCACCGGTTTGCATCCATCTATAGGATGGATGCTGGACCGCATACTGTAGAAACACGGTCGAGACCGCATGAAGCGGTTTACCATAATAATAAATGAAAGGAAAAACCCAGCGCACCAATCACCTCTATAGAAATTGCTCCACCTCTCATGTTTTCCCATTGCCCTTTAATTCTTTTCAGGCCTTGCTGCCGTTTCCGCTTCTTCATTCGTGGTCCCAAGGTAACCCAACCTTTCATCTCTTTCCAATGGATGAAGGCTCTTCTGCGTTTCGGAAGAAGTTTGAAAACACTTGCACAGTGTAATGTCTTTGTATTCATGGAATCAACCTTTTGAGGGCTTTGCCTGCTTTCCCTTCTTGCATTTTCCTTTGATTTATTCAGGAATTAGAGAGAAATAGTTTTCTGAATTTCTTGTGATTTGAGGGTTTCATCTCCCTCTATCTTCCCCTCTACCTCCTCTACCTGTTTCCCTCAGTTTGGGGCTTTAAGGAGAAGCGGGGGCTAATGGGGAGGCTGTTCATGACCCAGTTGTCCGGTCGGATTTATATCTGCTTTGCTTGCCATTGCCATCTTGCCTACATGCATGATATCGAGTCGAAGGTATTTAGTTTGTATCTCCTTCTCTTTTTAATCACTTGATGATCATGCTCTTGATGTAGGTTTTCAGTCACAATTTCGAGTAATTGACTCTAGACTTTTATGGTTTTCCTGGTGGTATTATTATTAATTGGATTAAATGCAATCTCGCATGTATTCCATAATGAGTTCTGAATACATTAAAGTTTTTCGGAATTCATTCTTTCATGTAAATGAAAACCCCCTTAATTATTTTGTTCTTAATTATATCTGATGAAATCACGGTAACAAATTAGTCGAGCTTGCTTTGGGTTTACTTCATCTAGCTTTTCATTTTACTAGTTGGAGAGAAAAGATGCACATTTTTGCAATTTGCGCGATCTGCTTCTTTGCAAGATCTTGTTGCCATGATATTTACTAAGAAAGTATGGTAATCCAGCATCCTTAGAAAATACCATACGTTAGTTGGTGTTTAGGGATACTTGAGAGACCAAGAGGGCGTCAAGGAAATGGATCTAGCAATGCTCATCAAGTGCCATTTTGTAGTATCTGATAGTGATCAAACATTAATATGTCATGGTTGTAATAATGAATACTTTGACAAAGTCTATCCTGTGAGGCACAAGTTGATCATTTAATCTGTATTGTGTTTGAGATTCGGCTAAAAGGAAATATAAAATTAATCATGAGAATTTTGGCTCACTTTAGAAACTTGAAACTTGGAGACTTTAATGGAGTTCATAAAAAACATCTTTATGAGATTTGAATTCCGTGCTGGATGACCATGTGTTAATACTGTAAGTATTTGGAACAGTTCTCACACCCCACCCGCCCCCCCCCCCCACCCTACCCCCCCAAAAAAAATAAAAAGTAAAAAATTGTAGGTGTTTGGAGTTATGGAAATTTCTCAATTTTGATGACATTCTTCGAGGTTCACTTTATTGTTTGCCAAATGTAGTTTTGAATTTTGTTATATGGAAGCTGGAAATCTATTGCAGTGTGGGTTTAGATAAGAGAGAGAATTATAGAATGACACTCGAGATATCTAACCAGAAATCTAATTGACATTTCTTTGATATTTAGTACAAATCCCACATGCTTTTGCACTTGTCAATCACGTCCAAATTTATGAACATTCTATTTATTTATGTGGAAAACTTTACCAAATGTGTGAACGGTCCTACTACGCAGTCCTGTAGGTTGTCTGTTAGTAAGAGGCAATTCATGTATCTTGCAACACTTCATTGCAACACTTCATGTTTGAAAGTATTTCCAACACCTCATGTTCGTGTTGTTTCAATGTAGCTTGAAGCTTGTTCTTGAACTCTTCTCCAAAACTAGATAGCCTTTGGAGCAGGAGGCAGAGAAAGTTCCCAAAATATCTGCTTGAAACTCTTTTTTGGAATGCCTAGACTTTAGGGTCAGAGGATGGAGGGAGGTTGCGACTGTCACTCAAGATACCTACTTGAAACTTAATGATATGATTGCAATAATATCCTACCTGTCATTTAAGAAAGTTTCCTTTTCTACATTTCTGAGTCGAGTACAAATGTTGGAAATGTTGTCACTCATCACAATATATCTTCTTGTTATTCTAACACTTTGTTTTTGTTGTTCGTTTTGGTACAATTTAGTAAAAATGTATTTGCTCAACCTATGGTATCATTTTGAGTTTTAAAACACTGATGATACTGCCTTTTATGGTTAGACCATGCTTCTCACTAGCTAATTTGTTAATTGAGCTCCAAATCCCTTTAGGTGTATTTCTCTAAGCATTTGATATACAGATTGTGAGAGAAATTTGAAGGCAAGAAACTGTTAATCCACTCTCAAAATTTGTCTGATGAATCGGTGTGATGGCGAGAGTTGGCAAGTACCACCTTGAATTGCAATGCCCTATTCATAATTTACCTTTCACTAGACTGGACCTTGAAGCAAGCATTTGTGGTCCTAGCTGTTTAAGCATGCCATGTCGTGGTGTCAACCAATATCTTTTGGCATATTAAGAACTACTACACCTTTGAACAACTTTGTCCATCTTGCAGCTTCTTCTCATAGTTGCTTTATATACTTGGTGCTCTGAGGTGCTCAGTCATACTGGTCCAAATGTCCTTGACTTAGCATCCAAAAGTAACTTCCTAAAAACTGTCTTATCTGCCATTCCTAGCTATATGTCGATGCAACTGACAGTCCCTTCAAAATGTGTTAAACATTTTCAAACTTTAATGAATGCTCATCACCGGTAGATCTAGGGATGAAATGGCCCTCAAAGCCCAAATATCCATTGGTGTTTAGGTGCCTTGCCCTGCACAACTTCTATCCAAAACACAATCATTTAGTTTTGGCAACCGAGCCCATTGTTCATCTTGAGTCAAAGATTGTGATTGGATGGTTCACCTCCAAAGTTATGGGTGTGACATATTTTGCCTCAACTGTAAACCAGAATAATAGGTGTGATGCCAGTGCGTGGGTGGCTGAGTGGTCTTGACCATTTAGGTGACTGTGTTCAAGTTCGTTGTCGTCCCAAACCAATTTGCATGGGTGATTTGTTAGAAGTATTTTGGTTTTTTAAATTTTGTGAAAACATATTTAGTTTCTACACATAATTATCACATAATTTTGTGTAGAAAAAAATGATCACATAATGATTGATTAATATTGAGAAATAGGAAGTCTAGATTTGAATTGCTGTAAGGGTATGACTGCAGCGTGTTTTTGAATGATTGTTTGAGTGTGAGTGAGTGTACAGACACACTTGCTGGGGCTGGATTGGATTCGATTTCATGAAATTCACAAATTATCAAATCCACAAAAGGTTGGACTGGATTTGGTTTCTTGATATTTCAAAAGTATTGAATTCGTAGGAATAACCCCTTCAGTGATCACCCCCCAAATGTGAGGGAGATAGGGCATTTACCAAGGCAAGCACCTATACTTAAGTGTACTTGTGCGAGCCTCAATATAGCCTGCCTTGGTTGGGATGTGTGGGTTGCCTTTTGACAATGTTCAAATTGAGTATAGCTTAAAAAGAAGGGAAAATTTCTCCATATCCCCTATTTTTAAGTTTCATTTCTTGATAAACCCAAGGTTTCAAAAGATATCTTCTAACCCCCTAACCACTTTAAACCTATTTTTTAACCTAAACAAATGTGAAAAAGATATTCTCTTTCTAAACCCAATCCTTTCTCTCTCTTCACTTATATGCCCCAAACTTTTTTGTTTCTCTCTTCTTGCATCTCTCACTCTCTTTCCCCTCCCGTATTTTTCCAAACACCTCTCTCTCTCCTCCTAGTAACTTCTCTCTCCACAAAATCTAACACAATCCTTTCTCTCTCTTCACTTATATTCTCCAAGCTTCTTTTTTTCTCTCTTCTTGGGAGGAGAGAGAATGAGGGGAGAGAGGTGGGAAAGACGGTAAGAGAGAAGGGGTATGGGGGAGACTAGAGAGAGAAAGAGAAGTTTGGGAGGGTGGTTTTTAGAAAAGGCATGTTTTTTTAGATTTGTTTGGCTTAAAAAAGCAGGTTTAAATTAGCTCAAGAGGTTAGAAGAAATAAAATCTACAATTTTTATACCTTAAGATATCTTTTAAAACCTTGGGTCTATTGTGAAATGAAACTTAAACATAGGGGGTATGAAGATATTTTTCCTAAAAAGAAATGTTACTATCAAATTTGACAAATTGATCAAACATCCAAGCGTGGCATTCTGTTGGGAACCACAGGTTGAGCACTAGTAGTCAATACTTTCCCATTCCAAATGGATGTGAGCTCACATCCTTTTTCAGCCTGATAATCTATGGGGATGCATGCTGTTTTTCATACAGTGAACTCTGTGAACCAGTGTTCAAGAACTCGGCTGAGTCAACTTGGACTTGGCCATGGCATATGATCGCGGTGAGATCCCATGTACCCTGTCGGGTACATGGGAAGGTGAATAGTACTCCGGTGAGTACTATTCATACTCATCCGAGTTCCATAGAACTTGGGTGAGTACTGGAGAACTTGAGCTTACTCGCCTGATTTCTATTGAACTTGGGCTGGTACAAACAATACCCTCCTAAGTATTGTTCATTTCTTGAAATATATAAAGGGGGCAGAAATCAGCCGTTCGTGAAAAACTCATCCCCCATAGCCCATATCTATGTTATTCGATACCAAATTCGAGATTTAGGTTTGTTCCATCCTAGATCTACGAAATAAAAATTTTAGATCCGACAAAAAACACTCCGATTTCTTCCATTTCCAAGATTAAAAAATTGGGGATTTTTTCCCGAAGTTTTGAAAAATTTGATTTCTTCGATTCAAGTTGCTGATCTTTGATGAAATTCAAAACATAGGACCATAGTTTGTTCTTTTTTTTGGATTTTCTAGAGCCTCGGATTTCATAGGGCACAATTTTTCTGTTTTTAATGTTCTAGTTTTTTATTTTTTTCCATAATTTTTCCCCTACTTTTAATTTTTTTTTCCAGAGCCCATGGTGGAGTCGGGCTTAACTCGGGCAAGTGCACTTGGATTGCCCGAGTAACTCGGATCGGGCCAAGGCCGAGTCCACGTCTTGAGCCAAGTTTCAGATCATTGGTGTGAACCATTCCTCCGCTCATTGTCTGCATTGGAGATGAATGATTATCCCTCTGGTCCATTGTTGACAATGGATGGTTGATGTGTTGTATAGTCTAAACAATCTAAAAAGTTATGATGCGCAGTTTATTGTTTGCAAAGTGCACGCAGCATTGTTCATGATGGGATCTTGTACTATTTTCAAGGTGCTATTTTGTTTGTTGGCTCAGATGTAGGATAGCAACCTTTTTGTTGCTGAACTAATACTGAGCACCACACTTGCATGTTAGACTCTCTGAATCTAAGAAACATGGCCAGAATGCCAAGCCTGATGTATGTTGAGTTTCTCTTTCAATCACGAAAACAGTCTCTCTAAAACACCAACTCTAAGCTCAGCTGGAGGGAGCCTAACTCTCTGAGGGCACTAGTTGATCACACTGATTATTCAGTTTGAAAAGCAAGCGAGTG